TTGAAATTTTACATATTACTGTTACATATACAACGTTCATTTGGTAAAAATTTGCCTCTTCAAACTAGACCATAAATGAGCAAAGACTTTTCTGAGGTTGAAGCCCACAAAAGAAAGCCACCTTGTTGAACACCAAATGTCACTTCAAGTAAAATTAAGAATGCCTGATCCTCTTAAGATTCTCAGACTGATCTAACATCAAAATTACCTGTACTAAAGTCTTCCACCCAAATTCCCAAGTATCAATTGGAGTCGTGGTGCATCAGTTGATTCTTAATGCGCTTGGTGGGCTTTGATTTAATCACGCACTGATATCAAAGTGCAAATAAATTACACGGGGTGTATCACGTTTTACAACTATAATATCATTGTTATGGAGCTGTAACAAATCGTAATTATGCCATCATGGCCACTAGTGCCCTAATAATGGAAAATCAAGACCTTTGATATAAAAATCCCGTTTTTCCCTTCTTTTTTGCCATTTATTCAATCTTTTTTTTTTTTTTTTTTTTTGATAAATAAAATTTTATATAAAAGCGCTCAGAAGGGGAGCAGAACCCAAGAGAAATACACAAGACCACAAGGGGCCTCTAAGCCTTCAGAAAGGCCAAACAATCGACAATCTCCTTTAAACATTTATGATCTCTCCCTGAAACCCAACAAAAAAGAGTGGAAAGAATAGAGAACTTAAGCGTAGAAATCGACATCTCCATTCCATCAAAATATCTCCTATTCCTCTCAAGCCATAAACACCACCACACACAGAGAAGTGTAGCCCTCCAAGCATCCTGAATGTGGGCCCCGGCCCCACATGGCAACCTCTCCAAGCCTCAATAAACCCTCTAACGGTTCCCGACATAACCCAGAGGATCCCAAACAAGCCAATCATCAAATCCCAACAATCTCTAGCCATGGTGCAAAGAATGAGAAGGTGATCCACTGTTTCCTCATCTCGAAAGCACATATAGCAACGATTGACCACCACCTGGTTTCTCCTTCTCAAGTTATCCTGGGTTAAGATCCTTCCCAAAACAGAGGTCCACGCAAAAAAAGCCACCTTGAGAGGAGCCTTTGAGCGCCAAACAGACTTCCTTGGAAAGCGAACTCTAGGATCATCCAAGAGACACCTGGAAAAAAAAGACCTCACCTCAAAACGCCCCTGAGAGTTGGCAGCCCAAATCCAACAATCAAACTCCTCAACCACAATCCTCTAGCGATACAGCAACTCCAAGAAACGAATGGCCTCCTCAATCTCCCAGTCCTGAAACAATCGCCTAAATCGAATATCCCAAACCAGTCTCCCACTATCAAAATGATAACAGTTGATCACGAAGGCTTGCTTATCCGAAGCAATCCTGAAAAGCTAAGGAAAAGCGAGAGCGAGAGGAACATCCCCACATCAAAGATAGGACGAGCCAAAGTAGCCTACACAACATCAGAAAACCTCTCCTCCTACTCCCCCGACACAAGAAATCTGTCGAGCCGAGAGAGGGTAAGGGGAGAGCGGCCACTAGACCAAGTAAACGACCCTCCTTCCAAAGGCAAATCCACCGGCCTAAACTCATCAATAAACTCCGAAAAGGACTCCATATCTGACGTCCACCTACCCCCCGTTGACCTCTCAAAAGGTGAGCGAACAACATTGAAATCCCCTCCCACACACCAAGCAAAGGACCAACGATTGCCAAAAGATTGCCTCTTATCCCTCCAAAGATTGCCAAAAGGCTAGAGTTGCCCTTCAAAGCTCACAAAGACAAGATTTAAGCCTAAATTTTGAATTAAAGCCATCCAATACTCTGATCGGTAAGTTTTCCAATTGTTTGAATTTTTCTACTCTTTTAACTTAAATCTAGCATAAATTTATAATCGCAGGCTAGCAAGAATTTCAAGATTTTCAACTGTGCGCCTCGTCAACTATAAGTATAAAGTCAAATAGGTGACTTGATTTCATACTATAAGGATAGCATAATCGCGATAGTAAGAATTTCAAGATTTTCACTTTTGGGTTCGAGAATTACCCAAAACAAGTATCAAGAGAAAAACTTCTCAATACTAAGAGTATGACCTAGGAAATCAAACATAACCAATAATGTGACAACTTAAAACCTATAGAATAGAAAACAAATGAGGGAGGCCTTAGAGCAACAGGAAGATTGCTCCACTGTGACCTGGACGTCATGGGTTCAAAACGGGAACAGTCTCTCCACATGCAGAGCTAAGGCTACGATGTTGCATACATCTAACTCTCCCCAAACCTCGCAATAGCGGGACCTTATGAAACAAATGGCATAAGAGATTTGACTGTTACAAATAGATGAAGTCAGTGATAGATAAGAAAGCATGCAGTAACAGTCAAGCACGGGACCTTCATGTATATGAGGGGGGCAAATTCTCCCCCCCCCCCCCCCCCCCCCGAATTTTTTTTTTAAGTAATACACCCTTGTTAATTTGTTTTTTTTCAATTATATACCCATAAAATATTACTATTGTCCCCCCTGAAATTACTAAAAATTTGCGCCCCCCCCCTCCTCCAACATAATTTTCTGGTTCCGTCCATGGTGACAGTAGCATCACACCAAAATTCTTTGGGAACATCCTGCATATGCCATTCTTGCTGATTTTTCTAGAGGATAACACTATCAGATTTCAATATACGAATGGTATGATCAAACTCACTAAGTTGTTGTCAACTTCTTTATGAAAGAATTGTAAATTAGACAAACCAAGTCATCATTGCATAATCCTCCAGAAAAATCACACAATAAGCAAATCCTAACATACTCATACATCAGTACATACCAAATCATAAGATGCTAAGTGATTAATCTAGAAACAAACTAGATTCTATGGTTTTGCCCAACTGACAAGTTTCACACTACAATCAAGATATAGACCTCAGAAGGAATCGTCAACTTGAAGGACTAAGGATGGAAGTCCAAGACAAAAATGTGACTTACTTGTAAGGAAGATGCCATATGAAAAGCCACGACACCAATAGCATGAACCTGTTTAAGAACTTAAATGCCATCCAGCACTCAGCCTCCATCAAATGATTGCATCATTCTGCAGTCTTGCAAAAAATAAGAAGAATGAAGTCAGTGGACAATTTAGAGTATTCTTCAACTTAATGGCAGACGAGGAAAACTGAAAACTTAAGAATATAGTGAACAAAAGACAAGGAATAGGATTAACAATCCAAGTTCCAACATAATTACATGATCTTACATCAGTAAGAACAACAAAGACGTGGAAGACTGAGATTTATAAAATAAAAAGAAAGAAAGAAGGGGAGAGGGTGGGGATGAAGAAAAGAAAACGAAAATATGGCACCACTCACTTGGGAAAGGTATGTTATTGTGACCTCTGCTCAGTTCTATAGAACAGAGTATGAAAAGCCTCGGTCCTGAACACGTGTGTTTCTGGAAAGGCAAGCTATAGGCTTAATAATTTGACATTATTTTTGGACAAAAAGACTTCTCTCACACTCGAACCACGTCGTCAGTCTTTCAAGTCAAACTCTTCATGTTTCACCATTACACCAAGCAATGACAACTACTTGGAAGACTAAGTATGTAATGAATAAAAAAATTGGAGCAGCCTTACAAGACATGTGAGAAGCTTTTCAGTCAATGACGCAGACTAATTTCTCTTCTTTCTTTTTTTTTTTTTTTTTGGGTAAGATTATAATGAAGACTGCAATGACCCAGGCTATGTTGCTTGAGCTAGGGTATTGATTTCAAGTATGGACACATCAAGTGTCGGACTTACCTAATCACTAAGTCTTAGGATAAGAGAACTCGGCTAAAATGAGAGTAACAAATGGGAACAACTACATGGACACAAGGGAAACACCTACATACATGTACATCTTATATAATATTAGCATTAGGGGTTAGTTTACAAATGCAAAAAATAAATATTTTTTGTTGGATCGGGATTGATTCATAATATACAAACGCAAAAAATACATGACATAATATACAAACGCAAAAAATACATTTACATCTTATATGATTAGCATTAGGGGTTAGTTAACAAATGCAAAAAAGAAATATTTTTTTGTTTCATAATATTTTTGGATCTTGGAACATAAATTATCAAAAAGAAGAAAAGAGTAGCATTCTATGGCTTTATAGTGGGCTCAATAGAATCAGGAGTCAAATTGGGATCCCATGATTCCAGTGATCCTATGCGGTTACACAAGAATTCAACCTACATGGAATTTTTTGTCGGATCAGGATCGATTCAGTAGTTTTCGATCATAAAATTGTAGGATTGTAAGATCCAGGTCAAGATCTTAACAACCATGTTAATACCTTGGATCCTTATATTATGTTTCACAACATAATACAACTCTAAATTCCAAAAAAAAAACATAATACAACTCAATTGCGCATCTTCTACACATTTTTAATAATTCAAGCTAGACATTGGTTACACATAATTTCAATCAAAGTTTTCTTTCCAAGATTTGAACTAGTAAAATGCACAAGCATAGATAGCCAGAATAATTCTGGCAATGATACATAGATCAATTTGCTTCTCCGAAACAAATTAACCATATTATAACCAATAACTATGCTATATAATTCAAAACAACTATCCTTTATGATCTCAATAGCTTTTGATTCAACATAAATATAGCACCATAATTAAAATTCAAGCTAAAAGTTAAATAAATAGATTACAAGCTGACTATCATACAAAAAGCTGAATAATAAAATTTTATTACAGAAAATTTGTAGTAGCTCCTGCATCCTATTTTCTATTGAGAGTTAGTGTTTCACGAGATTGAGTTAAAAAAAAAAAAAAAAAATTGAATTAATCTCCTTAAATTTAATCAAATTATTCTCAACCCAATAATACTCATACACCAGTAAGATAGTATATATTGATCATTAATAGAGGGAAAAATTATCTAAAATGGTACAGAACAAATTAAACAAATATCAATTATCATGAGAAGGTTGAATAAACACCAGTTTAGTCACATGCCTGCTGAAGGATCAAATGAAGACAACAGCTACAACAGGCAGAAAGCTGCCACCACCATAAGTCTGAGAAATTCAGGTCATGTGCAGCAAGCTCGAGAACTGATTCAGCCATTGATTAATAAGAGGCATCTTGTGTCGCCATCCAAATCTCAGTGAAACAAGGTGTTATAAGTGACCTTTCTTCAAACAAAAGATGACCTTGTTTTCCAAGTGACCAGCTAAAATAATGAGCCTAACCAAACCTGAACTGAGAGAGCCACGTAGATAAAAGAATGAACTCACGTGCCATAATGGAGCCATGCTTTCCAGAAATAGCATATCCTCAGTGTCTATGCATTAAAAAAGTTTGGTAATGAAGGGATATTCATTTGTCCCTTCTTAACCATTTTTGATAAAGGTCAAATGCCTTGTCAAGCTCTCCCATCTTGCAGTATTTTTTCATAAGTATTTGGAATGGTACATGATCAACTGGTAAACCAGACCTCTGCATCTTGACAAGAAGTTCTTCTGCCTCCTTTATTTTACCTCTCACACAATAACCTTTAATTAGTTCGGTGTAAGTTATTATGTCCGGATGACAACCACTCCTCAGCATTTCATCATGTAATCGGAGTGCAGGCTGAATGTGTTCAAAATTACAAGTAGCACCTACCAACAGATTATAAGTAACCAAATCAGGGGAAATACCATTTAAGAGCATCTCTTTCTTTAGAGAATGAGCCTCAATTATGTTTCCTCCTCTTATTTGCGCGTGAATTAACGCATTATAAGTAAATGTATCCGGGAAAAAACCAAATGCCACCATCTGGTCTCTAATTGTGAAAGAATTTTGTACATATCCGCGTCTACCGTAGCCATCAATTATGACATTCCAAATGAGAGGCTCAGGTACAATTGAATTTTCTAACATACAATGAAGAAACTCATTAGCTTTAACTACATCTCCTTGAATACACAGGCCTTGAATGATCAATTTGTATGATATATGATCTGGAGCAACACCCATTCTTGACATAACACCATGGATATAGCAAGCCTCATCAGTCTTTCCTTCTTTACAAAGCCCACTTATAAGAGTATTGTAAGTGAAAACATCGGGATGCAAGCCACTTTTAAACATTTCACACAAGTATTTATATGCAAGGATCATATTTCCACTTAAACAAAATCCATGGATAATAACATTATAAGCAACAACATCTATTTGAGTACCCCTTTGAGACATCTCATTCCAGAGATTGAGTGCCTGAACCATGTCTCCATTCTTAAAATAACCATCCATAAGTATAGTTGAGGTGATTAATTTTGAGGTATCACTGTCACAATTTTCATCTAATATTTCTGCAAGAATCTTCCTCGCATCATCTGGTAGACCTTTCTTGCAAAGTGCATGTACAAGAATGTTACAACTAACTCTATTTGGCATGATGTCAGAATTAGTCATGGTAGAGAAAATACTGAAAGCTTTATCCACCTTATCAACAAGGCAATAACCCTTCATTAAAGTGTTGTAGGTAGCACAATTGGGAGAGGGGCCCCAGTATAACATTTCTCTAACAATCCAATTTGCCTTCTCCAAATCACCAGATTTGCAAAGTCCATTTACAAGGTAATTATGCGTAAGCACGTCAGGAATAACACATTTCTGCATCATTTTGCTCCGAAGCCACAGGGCAGCTCCCAACTTACCTTCTAAGCACAATGTCCTAATAGTGGCTACATGTTGAATGTAATCAGCTTCCACATTGCAGTCACTAAGGCCTACATGTAACCATGACATGCTTTCCCTGAAAAATTCAAGGACATTAATCACCAAGATATGATAAATTCAACAATTTGCGTACATCTTGAGAAAAGGAGGGACATAGATAGGACATGAAACGGAAATAGGGCTAGCCAATCGCACAAGGCTCCTGCCACTACGAGGATTGGGGAGGGCTATATGTACACAGCCTTACCTCTACATGCATAGAATTGTAATTGTGATAAATAAATCGAAATTATATATTGCTATATTAAGTGTTATGTTTTATAATACTCGATATAGATTTTAAATCCTAAATTCTATTCGTTTCTCTATTCATATTAATATGAATAGCTAAGAATGAAAATAATAGTTAATTGCTAAGATTCCAATTGTTTGTTAAATTCCTATCCATGTAAAATTTCTGTTATGTAAGCCCACTTAGCTCAGAGGTTAGAGCATCACATTTGTAATGCGATTGTCATCGGTTCGATTCCGATAGCTGGCTTTTTTCTGTAAAGCTGTTTTGCCGTTTCGGACCCGTGACCTCCAGGTCCGGATGGAGCAACCTCACCGTTGCGCCAAGGACCCGCCCTCATGACACTGAAATGATAAAATAATTCTTTTTTAAAAGTTTAGGGCAAAGGACAAAACAAGAACACGACAATGAATAAATTTTTTATATTAATATTGTACATAATAAACATTACTTTATGAAAACTAACTCTTCAACAATGAAAGTTTTGTAACTTATGAATCATTATAAGATAACTAAATATGTCACATAAAGAAGGGTATAACATATGTATGTATACATGTGTACATGTATATATAAAGACAACCATAACCATTACTACTTTTACCATGCATGCCCCCTCCCCCCCCCCCCCCCCCCCCCCCCCCAAAACCACTTTTTTTTAATTGATAAGTAAGGTTGTATTAAAGATCCCAAGAGGGGGACACATCCCACAAAAGAAACACAAGGCCAAATGGGGCCTCTAAACACTCAAAGAGACCAAATTATCAACAATTTCCTCCATAGATTTACAATTTCCTCCCTATAACCCAACAAAAAAGGGTGGTAATAATACAGAACTTAAGAGTCCCAATAGGAGGAGTCTCCTTTCCTTCAAAAGATCTCCTTTTTCAAAGCCTTTGTGTATCTTTAGTTTTTAGATGTGGTCGAACATTCTATTGATTTTGTATAAACCTATATATGATACACTCTTTCAATTAGATTCTTTTTCCACGCCAAAAAAAAGTCATGCCCCATACAAAAGATTCATCGGTTCCACGTTCTGGGGTATCCAGGAACTCATGTCTTCAAATATAAGAATTTTGCTCTTATGTTTGTATTAACATGCATAATTTCTGCCGAACATGTTTTCTAAAGTATCCGTGTCTAACACATCCGACATGCATACAAAATCTCCCTAAAAGTGTCATGCTTCCTAGGGTACATCTTATTTATTTTAAAGAGAACTGTACAAATATTTTTGTTTAATAGAGAAATTACTGTGTGCTACAGAGGATATTGTTAACTGTACATATATTCAAGCTACAGGATTTCCCATTATCATTTTGTTAATTAGATCAAACATATTCCCATTTCAACTGCTGATCATGCAAACTAGGGCTTTATTATTTGACAAGAGACTGTATATGAGTCATCCAGTCTCATCCAACCATTGAGAATTCTACAGAAGAAGTGGTAGTGGTAGACTAAATTGAAGGCAGCACAACTTGGCAGACCGAAATTAATAACATTAGGTGAAACCCCGAAATATGATGTTTAAGAAAAACTTCAACTACTTCCAATTAAAAAAGGACTCAAACTGTAAGGAACAAACTCAAAACCTAAAGAATTATCTTCGTATCACACTTCAGCTAATTTGAGCAACAATAACTTCAGATGGAACTTTTCCTAAAACTCATGCAAGTTCAAACCTCGATTATTGTTGCACTCCATTATTGTTGCACTCCATTTCTACTTTCACCAATTTGAGAAATTACAAGTATCAATTGGAGCTTTTAGACTCAGCCGCAATTTGAAACTAAAAACTAAAAAGGGAAGTAATAAAAAAATAGGCAAGAAAGACGTAAAGTAGTTAAAGTAGCATTTTTTCAACTTCAATTTCAAAACAAGAAGGATTGCTACGGCTATCCTTCCATAACAACTCGGCAACTCCAGTAAAAAATTACAAGAAAGCTGCACTACTCTACCATCCAAACCAGCCAAAACAACATAGGCAATAATTTTTCTTTAAATTTACACATGACAAAAGCTAACCTCATTGTTTTCAACCGCTCCAAGCTACCCTTCAGCATTGAATCCAACACATTGAAAACTGCACGTGGATCTCTTTTATCGTCATGACCCTTGTTCTGTGGAAACCAATCTTTGGTTTTTTGCTGGTATTGATTACCAACAGCTGCAATGATATCTTCAAGAGTACAAGGCAGTAACCCATCGTGCCTAGAAGTCCCAAATATAAAGTTTAGAAATTACGAAAATAAAGAAAATAGATCAAGTGACTGAGTGATAAAAAATTGTGTTTCTGGCACAAACCATTAAAGATGAGGACATATAGGATTCTTCCAAAACAAATAAAAAATGAGGAAGAAGAAGTAGCAATGCGTATTTTCTGACTAAAATAAACTATAAACTGAAAGGGAAAGTACCATGTAATCAAGGATACGAAAACACAAAGACAATTACAAACTAAGGGAAAATAAGAATAAATAAATAAACAAAAATTGAATCCTGACCCTTATTTGACCCCATACCAAAATATGATTTTCGACGCATTTTCCACAATATTCACAATGCTCCTTTCCTCCAAATACACCCCAAAAGAAAGTTCAAGCCAAATTTACAAACCTTCCTTCTATTTGTACCAGGTACTAACCCATTGCACTGTGAGCAAATCTATAGATGATTTGTGTATCATGTGCAACAAAATGGAGATACGTTCTTATAGATAGTGGAAATGTATACAACTACAAAATCAGAGCAAAACAATATGATGTGTGTGATTCTTTTATTGTTTAAATTCCAACAAAATTAAAATGTAGTTGAAGCAGAAGCCAAATCAATATATATACACACACAGATATAACATCTAACCAAAGAGTTTAAAGTTGTATACCTTTTATTGACTAAATCAAGGTTGGATTTGCAACAAAAATATTCAGCAAAAATCTGCCCAATACCGTCCTTGACGTAATCTACGGTTTGTGCACTGAAGTTCAAGAGTCGAAGAATAATATGGGATTCTTCGGAGGCAATTAAGAGCTGAAACTCCAAATTTATTACCAAGAAATAGTGAGAAATACGAGTAAAAATCTGGCAACATATATAGATTTATATTACATATAGATATATTATTTATACATTTTTCTAAATAAAATTTTGTGATTTATAAGAGAGAGTGGTTCGAGCTTCACAGAATCGGAAGACTTACCGTTTGCATTTTCCAGCGTAGAGAGAGGACGGCGTAGGAGGCGGCGGTTTGAGTTCTAGGGGGAGAGAGAGAGAGAGAGAGAGAGAGAGAGTGTCTGTACAAATCTCCTCAGATAGGGGGCCTTATTGGGCTGATCTACCAGTATTAAAAAGAGGTTCAAATTTGCAGCCCATAAGCAAGTTGTATTTTGCCCAAACCTCCAAGCCTAATTCGTTTTGCATGGCCTGATTGACTCTTGAAGGCCCAATCAACCAACAAAATAAACTCCCGCTTAAGAGCCGGGGATGAGTCCGCTATTGGGTAACATCCTTCCACACTTAAATTCATAACGCACTCGTTTGAGATCGGATCACCTGCTTACTCGGTACGATAATCTGGACACTTTTGGATTGGGTGTTTAACGTGACATCGGATCAAGAACTCGATCTGCCTTTAATATCAACTGTAACGGGTGGATGCTTGTTTGTTGACTCAAAAACTTAAACTATTGAATAGTGTTACATACTCACCCATTTACACCCATTTAACGTTCCATTTGGATCTCTAACATTAAGCTTCACTGAAAAACCAATCTATAATACTATTAAAAATGTAAGCAATTTTTATATACATTTTTCATACCAATTTTTTAATAAAATGTAAGCAATTTTTATATACATGTAATTTAAATTTTGTAATTATTTGAGAATGTTAATGAATCAATAAATGTTTCATTATATTTAGCTAACCAAAATACAACAATTATATACTCCTAATAGTAGTATAAATATAGATATGAATGCTCTTTCTTTTTTAAAAATTTAAATTTTTTCTTTTTAGATTGATATTAATTTAATCAATCAACTCATACCCGTCCACAAGGTTGTAACAATCCACCCCATGAGGCCCAATGTTCCCGAGACTCGCTCCAGCACACGATATAATATTGTCCGCTTTGAACCATAGTCTGCACAGTTTTGTTCTTAAATTTTTCCACCAAAAAGGGTCAGGTCCGCACAATTTTATTATTAAATTTTATCCTAAAAGGGTCATACCATTTGAAGTGTATCAATCCTACATATATATATATATATATAGGCGATTTTGTTCCTAAGTTTTATCTCAAAAGACCTCACACCATTTGAAATGTACTAAATCTTATATATATGGCATTTTCCCTTTTCAATCAATGTGAGAATGTGTACTTGTAATTTAGTAGTTCCTTACATCCGCTCACAATATGACCACACAGACTCTCACCCCAATTATACTCATGCATAAAGTTTTGGATATGAACTTATTTTGTAGTTATTTATTTATTTTTGAGAAATAACAAAAGCATTTTGATCGAATTTTTGTTCATCATTAGGGAAAAAATAAGGAAAAATTACGTATAAATGGAGTCAAAGTTTCATATTTACTTAGAGGCTGAATCAAAGTTCCATATTTCTCTAAAATGGATTGCTGAGGTGGCACATGGTTTTTTACTGTTTAGAAATTGTGGTGCCTAAAATACCCTTCCGCGAAGGTACTACTTTTTCTTCGAAGGTACTATTTTTTTGAACTGAAGGTACTACTTTTTGGCGTCCAGGTACCATGTTTTTTAAACACCCGCGAAGGTACTACTTTTTCTCCGAAGGTACTACTTTTTTGAACTGAAGGTATTACTTTTTTGCACTGAAGGTACTACTTTTTTTGTTAGGGAATGGCATTTTAGGCACCACAATTTTCTAAATAGTAAAAAACTATGTGCCACCTCAGCAATCCATTTTAGAGAAATATGGAATTTTGACTCAGTCTCTAAGTAAATATGGAACTTTGACTCCATTTATATGTAATTTTCCCAAAAAAAAATCTAAGATATAGTGGTGTGTTACTGGTAATGAATATTAGGAAGAACATAGTCATGCGAAGTATATTAACCCACCCCCCCACCCCCATCTGTTCCACACGAAAATATAAAATTAAAAAAATAATAGTGATTAAAAATTTTTGTAAGTGCATTTTTAATGTATATTATTAAGAACTCTATTTGTATACAAGTGTGGATTGAGATTTTTTTTAAAGCAAGAGGTTTATTAAACTTTAAAGAATTTACAAGTAATTCCTTTAAAAAACACCACAAATAATAACTAGAACTCAACAGTAAATAGAATAAATAAATAAAAAATATTAGAGAACAACTTTAATATTTATAATCACAATTAATAATGATAATTCCATAACTAGAATTTTTTTTCAAAATCCCTTCGCAGACCATGACCAGCTAGCTGCTTTGTATTTCGAAAACGAGAAAACGGCTGCATTTAAGAGGAACGCGGAGTCGCGTAGCCGCATAGCACGGGCAACCCGCCAGAGTTCACACGTTGCTTTCAACAAAGCACCACCACCAATAAATACGCTGACAGGTGTCTCCCTACTTGCATCCCAAGAAAATTGAAAGCTCACCTCACCACGTGTCCTCTTCAATGCCGCTCCGTTCTCCACCGTCTCTCCGGTCGTCGTCGTCGCCCGTAATATTCCGGCAGTCACGTCATACAGACTAGATCCTACAGAATATAATTCCCTAATACTATATACTTTTGTCATTTTATTCCCTTTCTTCCATCTATTCTGTTGTGAAATGAATATGGTATTAATCTTTATTCTGTCCGAATTAACTAAATCCATAAGGTTTTTGGGAGTATTCTATTCCATTTTTGGTTTGAGAGTAATTAAAATGAAATCTGAATTTAAATTAGCATATTTGAAAAGCTTTAATTATACTAAGCCAAAGTCTTCTAACCTAACTGATAAGATGCCTCTTGTTAATTCTTGGAGCGCATGAGTTCGAATTTTGGCACCAACTAACCCTTAACATTTACCCCTTCAATAGGGTAAGAAGCTCTCCTATCATATAGGAGTAAAAATTATGCACCAAACATCACTACTCATTAAAATTAGCATATGGTATTGATCTTTATGCTGTCCGAATTAACTCAATCGATAAGGTTTTTGGGAGTATTCTATTCCATTTTTGGTTTGAGAGCAATTAAAATGAAATCTGAATTTAAATTAGCATATTTGAAAAGCTTTAATTATACTAAGCCAAAGTCTTCTAATGGTAAGATGCCTCCCATCACTACTCATTGAGTATGAGCATATACTAACTCATCAACAATAAAAAAATATGTACAAATTGTTCTTTAATATTGGTTGACGGTTAATTTTGATTAATTTTTTTATTTAAAATTTCAAAATATTTATAGAGTTTTTATTTTTATTTTGTCTTGAAGTACATTAAGATATTTTGGTCTTTAAATTGAGAAAATGTCCTTATTTGTTCAATTTAAAAAATTCAAGGAAGGTTTTGAGAATCATGAATGTTTTCCTACCTTTGATATGTAACACAATTTAAAATAATAATAATAATAGTAAAACACATTAATCTTTATTTAGGTAAGCATTATTTCTTTAGAATTCATATTCATATAAAATATAAAAAAAAAGACATGAAATGGAATGTGGATGAAGCAAATTGCTATTAGGGAGAGGAAAAAAGAAAACTCAAAATCTTCCATTTCATCTCAGCAAAATTTACATTTCCCCCTGAAAACCCTCTAACCCAAATAAAATAAAAAATAGAGAGAGAATAGAATAAGGAAAAACTTTCTTCTCTCTTTCACACACACACACACACACACACACACACACACACATATATATATATATATATAACTGCACTTCAATCAGTGGTTTTGCTCTAAGCTCTCATGGGATTCTTGGGACGTCTCCAAATTAGCCTCTCCATTTTCCATTGTTGCTCTTGTAGTCTGATCACCCATCTCTTCTTTTTGCTTCTCAACATAAATTTCAGCTTTTTCTCTCTCCATGTTATCTGTCGAATAGCCATTGTTATCACCCAAGGAAGAAGCTCTGTTGGACATGGGTGTGGCCAAGAACGTCGGATTTACATCTCCAGCCATTATAACCACAATCTTCTCTTCGAAGACCGGCATAGCCTTCTCGGAATCACCCGGTTCGTCATCGCCAACCTCGGAATCTCTCTCGCCACCTTGGTTGCTGTCCAAGTGGCCGGAAAGCTTCAAGTAAGAGCAAGCGAGGATCAAGAGAGCGAAGGTTATCAAACCCATCATTGCGGCGAGACCTCCGAAGAGGTACGGCACTGGAGAGTGCCATGGCGAGTCATGTTGTAGAGTAGCCGGCGGAGAGAATGTTGCCTCTGGTGGGGTTGTCATAGTAGTACTGTCTAAGGTTGCCCCAATAGTTCTCATCTCTCTCTCTCTCTCTCTCTCTCCTAACTATGCCTTTTGTTTTTTTAATTACCCTCTCTCTCTATCTTGGAGAGTAGGCTTCCAAATGAAGAAAAGGAAAGGGCGTATTAAAGTGGTGTGGGATTGAGAAATGGAAAAATGAGTAGATATGCATTTATAAGAGGGAAAAGTAAGACTTTACCTAAAAAAAAAAAAAAAAAGTAAGAGAGAGAGAGAGAGAGAGAGAGAGAGAGAGAGAGAGAGAGGAGCTTATTGCTTTTTGTAAAGGTCACGGATTTGGGCATCCCTAGAGGGTGTGTAAGTGGGGCCTATTGATGTAAGGTCAAGGATCATGGTGGGATTCCATGATAACCTGACAAGTACAAAGGGTCTTGGCTGGGGTGATATTTCGTATTTGTGGGTGATAAATGTGTCCTTATCAATTTAAGCATATTTTATTAAATAATTTAATTTGAACACTATTTATTTAATATTTGTATCAAAAAATTTCAACACTAATCCGATCTATTTATTAAATGAGTTACAGGTATAACTTGTTTAATAACCTATTTATTAAAACAAAAATTATATTATTTAAATTATTAAATAATACTCAATCAAATAATAAATACTAAAAAAATATATGTTTTAATTCTATTAGATTACTAAATAGTCATTACCTTACAAAAGAATAAATTATAAGATATAAGTTTAGATAATTATTTTAAAAGATAAATATAAATTTATTTATGACACGTATAGTTAAACAGGTATAAATGAGTTATACGGATTGAACTACCTTAACCCAAATATGATATGATTGAGTAAACGGGTTAATTACCCGTTTACGATCCAAACTCGTTTAAGGTAAATTCAAACTCGTTTAACTCGTAGTGTTGGAGGGTCGTGTCAAACTTTGTTACCCATGTCTTAGCTCCTTGTGACCTGTTTGAATTGTTGCTTCCCATACATTTTCCCAAATTAAAATTTGTCGTTGCTCTTTGGAATTGAAATTGGATTTAGAAATGAGAAAACTTAATAAAATATTTTGTAAACTTAAAGTATGATGAAACATACTCTGATAAAATTGGAGTGGGTCTCATGGTCCACGTTAGAATGCCCTTCTCTTTGAAAGTAGATGAATTTAGTATATATATTATGAGTAGTGATACTCACATTGAACAATTGCAATTAATTTCTTAATCGAATAATTTTTAATTGGCTATTTATATTAAATACAACTAAATAGAGGGCTTCACTTTCTTATTTTTTTTGCATAATTGACCAATTAGAAGATTATGTCTAGCAATTTACTGCAACTATTCAGTGCAAGAATCATTTTCCATATATTATATGCTTGGCCAAAATCATTCATATAGGTGAATGAGAAACTAAATCTAAAGTGAGGCATTTGGTTATGGTTTAAAGAGTTGAAAATGGATTTGTCTTGTAAGATTGAGAAAATTTTGGTGTGCATGAAGTTTGGGTCCATGGAACACCCAAGTTTTGTAGAAGGGGATGACCTAGCCAATGTTAGATCCAAACCCATCAAAACACAAGCACACCATCCGCCCAACTCAGTTGTTCGGTTCGATCCAAGCTTGAGCTCGATCTTCAAAGAAATATTATTTTTATCAAAAGAATTTCTAATTGAGCTTGGTACGTCGAGACTTTGACCATGATATTCTAAATTCAAATCGATTCGGATCAACATGTTCGGATTAACCTAATTGGTGAAGGTTAAAATCTTAATGGGGTAAAAAGTGTGTCTCTTTGAGCTGATTGGTTGCGCCTGGTGGCGGTTCGGTTAACCCGAACAGGCACCATTACCTTTATAAATACCCTTGTAAGCTTCATTTGCTACATGCACTTTGAGAATTTTGAGGGCCTACTTAGTTTATAACTCTGAAAACAGTTTTCTGTTTTAATAAAACTGCACAAAAAACTCTTCTTGGTTCAGATTTTTGAAAACTCAGTTATAAAAAAAATGCTTTCAGAGAACTGTCTTTTATAGTTCTCTGAAAATAGTTTTCTGATATTTAAATTCTTGAGAACTGTTTTCAGAGTTATAGTCCCTGTTATCTTCTTTCTACTTTGCATAATTGAGTCCAAATTCTATGTAGGGTTCATGTCTAAAGGTTCAAATTAAGCCTGAATCATTTTGAGCCCTAGTCAAGTAAGAGAGAGTATAATGCAGTGGTGGTTTGTTGGTTTCTTTGGTTTAAGGTGTTGTTACTAGAGGAAGAAAAGATTGTTGTATTCAGGGAGACAAACACCATAGATATCGGCACTTGACGGGACGTAATCTATCTTAACCTTGATCTGTATGTTCTTTACTTATTTTTTATTTTATAATATTGATTTTGTATATTAATTGGTACAAATCTTGCATAGTCTTAAATAATAACATATAAGCGTATATTTTCTCTTACCCTCCTTATATACTAATACGATCATAGATAACCCTCTCCTCACATGAAGTATGACCTCCAATAACATGTTTAACGTCTTTTTCTCTTTTTTTTTTTTTTTTTTTTTCACCGAGTAAATTGAAAAAGAAAATTATTGTCAAGCTGGTCTCAAAAGAGGAGATTCGAACTAAAGACATACATCTTATCTTATATTATAATTGTAGTTCCTAACCAACTTTTAAATCTATTGCTGTGACATTTTATGGCACTTGTACATGTGAACCACATCCTAATTGTGTATGCATAATTTGAAAACTATGATGATAGAGAATATGCAGAGCAAATAATTGCTACACAGCGTGTGTAGGTTCGGTCGGAGCCAATTCTTAGAAAAAATGAAAGGTTGATGCATCTACGAAGTGTGGGACGAATCCTAATATTTGTTTTACTATAATAAAGAATGAGGAAACAACTAGTTATGAGAAACAAATTGAACCCAACAATATTAGGTAACTAGATCCAGAATCTTTTGCAGCCTTTATCTAACTTGAAATCTAACACTAATCTGAATTTGGGTATATATTGCTAGTTTATTCTTTGGAATCTTATCTCAATTTTACTAGTCTAAAATAGTTGCAGCCACTAATAAAGCTCAAACTTTGAATCAAATCTCAAACTTACACTAAGCTCAAACTTTGTATGCCAAATATCCTTGATTTTGCCTGATTAATTAATTGTATCTAGAAGGGAATTTTAGTTAATAGATGCAGTATATATGCTTTTGCTTGTTGGCAAAGAAAAATTATACGGATTGAAGAGAGGCCAGTTAATGTAGCTGAGTCCTCAATCCTCATCCATGGATTCCATGGCTACACGAAAAATTCAGTAATTGTCTATTTCTCTTTAGTTATGGTGTCTTGTTGCATAAATATTTATAAGCTTTCCGTGCATATATTATTTATAATTTTTTTATGTACTGTTTGTGAGATATAAAATGGCATTTTGGTCCAAGTATTCGCTCTTTTACACCAACTGATAGTTTAGAAGCGACTTTTTGATAAAAAAAATTTTGGATAAGGAGGGTTTATTTAAAAAGACTACAAGTTGGGGGGAAAATTGTGTGAAAAAAAATTTGAATGATACACAAGATCTTTTAAGTCGAATTTAAATTTATATTGAAATATTCATTAATTAAATATTAAAAAAATATCGGAATCAGAATATTGGTTGAAATTTCACTTTAACTTAGTGGGGATTTAAGCCCGACCTTAATGTAGCTAAGTCCTCAATCTTGGATCAAAAGTGTATCCGTTGCAATAGGTAAGTTTTGTTTAGGATACATATTATCAAAATGTTGGGAAGTTGGTTACATCCCAACTTTCTCCTAACATGCATTTCAATACTTTCCTAACTTACAACCCAACACTTTTCTAACGTACATTCCAATTTTTTCCTAACATGTTTAAAAAAACTCATTGACTGCGACATATATACTATTGCGCCGGAGAGGATTTTGTTCCCTCAATCCTCATCCATGGCTATTGGAAAAAAGCACTAATAAAGATTATATGTGAATAACGAAAGAGAAAAATCATTAAATCACATCATATTTTACTTATACCAAAGGTGGTGTATCTTAATGGTACTTCTTCACCTTCCAAAAAAAAAAGAAGGTTGAGATTTAAAAAATAAAATAAGATTGGTGTCTTGTTACACAAATATTCTTAAGCTTTCCCTGCATATATTCTTTGTAATTTTTTGATATACAGTTTATAAGATATAAAAGGACATTTTGATCCAAATATCCATTCTTTTACACCCGCAGATAGTTTAAAAGGAATTTTTTTATTTAAAAAAAAAAAATTAGATAAGAAGGATTTATTGGAAAAAGCTACAAATTAGGGAGAAAAAATTTGTGTGAAAGAAAATTTGAATGATACACAAGATCTTTTACATCGAATTTAAATTTATATTGAAATATTCATTAATTAAATATTAAAAAAATATCGAAATCAGAATATTGGTTAAAATTTCACTTTAACTTAGTGGGGATTTAAGCCCGACCTTCCTTCTACTTTATTAAGCATTTTACATGTAGAGTATCTTTTTTGTCCATTAGACAAGTCGAATTTGGAGACCTTCCAACAAGGCAACGCAAGATACCACTAAAGAACTGGGATTGAGAAGACAACTACGAAGCTGCCCGAGCCACTTGGTGAACAGGGGGTGGAGCCATTAACAACACGCAAGTCGCAGGGGTGGGCGAGACCCGAGAACCACCACCGCGGCACCACCACTTTATGCTGTGTTTTGCTACTTTCCGGCCAAACAGGTTCCATTTTCTTCGGCCCTTGCTCCCTCCCCTTTATGGGGAATTTCACCTTTGACAACTACTCGTATATGCCAATGCAACAACAAAAGCACAAATGGCTGTAGCATGAGTGAAGGGATAAAGCACCAGCTAGGAGAGGGTCCCTCAATGGTTCAACCATATCCAACTGTACCACCTTGTGGGTTCCACATCTTCATCATCTTCCACCTATTAATGTATAGCTAAATGCTCTTTTTTTCTTTTTCTTTTTCTCTTCTTCTCTCTCTCTCTCTTCTTCATAATTATTTAATTATTATTATTATTATTTTCAGACTCTGTAAATAGGCAAACACTGATAATGGTTGAATATTGTGTTCAAAATTTTTAGAAAATAAACGCAAGTAATTTTTTTTGGGACAAATTTGGTGAGGTATGTTAGGTTGG